GGACGGCGTGTACCGCTGGTTCTCCGAGCTGCCCTCCCCGCAGCGTGTGGAGTTCCTCTGCGGCCTCCTGGACCTCTGCATCCCGCTGGAGCTGCGCTTCCTGGGCGCCTGCCTGGAAGACCTGGCCCGTAAGGACTACCACTCCCTGCGTGACTCCGAAATCAAGGCCAACAACCCCGCCGACCTGGGGAGCCTCACCAACCTGACGGACGAGGTGGTACGCAGCAAACTTTTGGTTTCTCTCGCCCTGCTCGGGTCCGGGGTCCTCTTCCGTACCCTCACCCACATCGACTCGGTCATCAACAACTATGGGCTGCAACTCAACGAGGGCCGCACAGGGGATGAGTTTCTGTTGCTCTTCACGATGGCATCCAACCACCCTGCTTTCAGCTTCCACCAGAAGCAGGTGCTGAGGCAAGAGCTCACCCAGATCCAGAATATCATGGCCAGCACCAGCAAGGGGTCCTCTTCCGTACCCTCACCCACATCGACTCGGTCATCAACAACTATGGGCTGCAACTCAACGAGGGCCGCACAGGGGATGAGTTTCTGTTGCTCTTCACGATGGCATCCAACCACCCTGCTTTCAGCTTCCACCAGAAGCAGGTGCTGAGGCAAGAGCTCACCCAGATCCAGAATATCATGGCCAGCACCAGCAAGAATCCCAGCACCTCTACCCTCAACACCATGGCAACCTATCCTGGCTGCCATAAGGTGGGTATCCTGCTTTTGCACACCGTCGTGGCACTGCTGCAGGGCACTGGGTTGTGTCTTCAGCTCCGATTTTAAACCTTGCTTTTAGTACAGGCATCCTAGGGATGACTGACAGAAACCGCTTGCTCGGTTGATGATGGGGATGGTCAATTGAGGGCAAAAAGAGGGGGTGCACGGAGTTTTTATGGGCTCGTGATGTTTAAATATGAAAGGGTTTACATGCTGCTCAACAGGCAGTGGTATAAACCTGAACTGATCGCTTCTGGCAGCGCGTCTGCGGAGAGGACGGTCCTGCTAGTTGCATGGAGGAGTAGTGAATTAGTAAGGGAAACAAGCGTGTCATTATCTCTAGATCAGGAACAAACATCTGTTTAAAAGTTTCCCTGGAAGAAGCTGCAAAGGAGGATTAGCTGTGGGAGTAGCTGTCCAGTGGCAAGACTGGGTTTTGTTGAGATGAATGTGATAGCAAGCATTTTGAGTTTCTGATAGTTAAAGAAATGTTGGTCGCCTGTCACCCTGAATCTCTGGGGTATTGATCCTGGTGTCAGTGGTTCACCGTCATTAACTTGCTGTCCCTTCATTCAATTGCCAGCAATTACGCTAGACTAACATTTTAAGCGGTCCTGTTAGTAATTAGATATGTTAGTGAATGCTTAAGTGCTTTTAGCCTGCTACAAATTAGGGAGTCAAACTGTCTTCTTGACTGAATTTAACCTGCTGGAAAGTTCAAACTAAGTAGCTGCTAAGTGGGTGTGTGTGATCAGTGAACGGGCTGCAGCTTTTGAGGATGTGCAGACTCGGTCAGCAAATGACGACCTTACCCTTCTACTGGGGAAGGGTACCTAAAGGCTCTGAAAATCCCTGGGCTGGAGTAGTATCCTAAATAAAGCTGTTTCTGAGGGCTTAGTACAGATTCCGTTAAGTTGAGCTCTGAATTTCAGACTGAGATACAAATCCATGCTCAGTCTTCTCCTGAATACAGATTTCCTTCCAATTTTGTTTCTTTGAATACTGCTGCTCTGATTGTAAGGTTTAGATGAGTAGTATTAAAGTTGATATTTCTCTTCGTCTTCCTTTCCTGTGTCTGTAAACAGTGCTTGTTCCTGACACTTTGTTTGAAGGGGACAGAACAGGGTATGGTATGGGAATGTCTCTGTATTCAGTTTAAACCTTGACATGAATAAAGTGTAGATGGAAAGAGTATTTCACACAGAATGTAGAAGATATTATTAAAGCCAGAAAAAGCTCCCTTTCAGATACTTAACTGCTTGCAACTTCCCTTATTCAAAAGATGCAAGAGAGAATTACGCAGGCAGGAACATTTTTTAGAGTGTGCTTTCAAAGCTCCACAAACAGTGCGCGATTTCTGTAGCTGAAAAACTCTGGCGCTATTTCTGTCAATCTAAGATGGACGGAGAATCCATCCTGCCGTTTTTCGTGCGGGCAATAGGGCGTACAGGACAGTCACTTGATTATTGTTGGCTTATCCTTTTGAACTCCTTGAAGGGTGGTCCCTTTAAAAAGACTCTTTTTAAAGAAATCAAGAAGTTAGAGTTGAGGAATACAGGTCACTAAGTACAGAATAGCTGAGAGGGAACAGAAGAGGGGACTTTACTTTCTCCTGGGTACGTGTTTTGTTTGAACAGATGCCGATTTCCTTTTTTAAGGTTGTTAATATTTTGGTTTTGCATGTTGATGCTGGGTAATTTTGCTACTTTTAGAGTAAGCAGTTGGCTTCAAACAGGAGTTGGATGAGGCAAGTGGAAAAAACAATGTCTTTCTCCATTCAGCCCTGTTTAAATATGCACAAATAAATTCCAACACCGTGGATTTAGGTCTTGTGATGTTACCAAGCTATGTTGTGACAATACTTGTGTTGTAACATCACCTAGAAAAAACCATAATGCAGATGTCAAGAGAAAGTGAGCTGTGCTGAGCCGCTGCCTGCCAAGAGCCCCGCGCTCCCCATCCTCTTCAGAGCTGGAGGAGATTTTCTGCCCCAGAGCCAGCCCTTTCTCATCACTCTTGTTGCTTTACTACAGCTTCAGCTACGCTGGTACTTGAAGTCAGCGCTGTGTGAATGCTGCTCCTAAATTCTCAAGCACAAATGTCTTTGAGCTCATCCTTGGAGAACGAGCTGGAGAAGTGGTCACTGTTTGAGGTCCTGAGAAACTTTTGGTTTTGCTGGAATGGAGTGGATGTGTGAGGGCACGGGAACAGGGAGCTCTTTGTGAACAGGGCTGGTCATCCTTCAGCCTTTCCTTGTGCTGAGTTTGGGAATAGGGGCTAACACTTGTGTGACTACCCGTGCCTCTAGAACTAGAGGTCCATTACGATTTCTCATGATTTACATTTAACTTTTTTATTCAGGGAGATGCAGCAAAAAAGTTGAACAGTGCTCTTTGTTCTCTTTGCAGAAACAAGTAGGGATGTGCTGCTTCTGCTTAGTCAGTCCTATTAAAATATGACCCTACTTGATATTAGCTGCAGCTTTTTTCCAGAGCATTGGAGCCTGCAATCCTCTTTCCATCTCCTCTTTCACATCTTACAGTGAAACCTCTGAAAAATAAGTTATGATGGTGAAGAGACTGAAGAGTTGATACCAAATCGCTGTAAACAATTCGTGATTCTTCACGCTGTGTTAGGGTAGGTGAACACATTTGAAGTTGGCTAGTGATGCAAACCACTGCTTTCTGCTGTTGTATTTTACTGCCTGCTGCAATTGCTGACTGCAAGGAGACTCAAAAAAACCCCAAAAACTACCCACGTATTTAATTTGTGCTTTTCAAGATTATTCCTGAAGTATATAAATCCTAACTTTACAGGCAAAGGTGGCTGTGGCTGGCTTTAAGTAGGTCAGTAATTATTAGATTCATGGTTTCTACTTGCTCTTATGAAATTAATGGTAAGTTTCCTTGCCCTAGGTAGGGAGAACATTGCCCTCTCTTCAGTGCTTCAGGCTCTGTAAAGATGATCCTTTCTGCCCCTGGTCTTGTCTTTTCTTCTGGTTTTGCAGGACTTAAGTTGTGGATTCTTCAAACTTTCTGCGTGCAGGCAAATCTAAGGTGATCAAAGGGTTTTTAAACACTGAACCAGTGCAAATTATCTTCAACTGAAGCCCACCCATGTATCTAAAGAGTCAGATCTTTAAAAACTTTTATTTCTGGGATTAACTGTAATGGTCTTATTTTTAACTGGAAATGAAGCAGCTGAGTTTTGAGGCTGGTTTTGCACCTGAAGATGCCTGCTCAGCTGTCTCTTATATCTTTGCCACAAAGGAGATAGAGTGGTTTTCTGGCCAGCACTTAGAGCCCAGCATCTGCAGGCTCATTTGTGTGCTGATGTATAGTGCTTAGGGCTGCAAACTGCTGCTCTCTTGGTAGAGAAGCTGGAGCTGGAAGCATCAGGGCACAGGAAAACTGGTAGCCATATTTCTCCTGGTGTGCATCTATGTATGCATCCGGGTGCTTTGATAGGCAAACTGCTGTATCTGTGACCTAGAGAGAAGGGAGAAATGTCTCAGAACTGTTGCCCATCATCTTGAACCACCCATTCCAACTAATGTTGTGTCTACGTGTGACAATGAACATCTCTTTTTATAGGTGAAAATTCAGTGTTTTCAGTCTTTCTTGGGTGCTTTGTGGCTGTAGCGATGCTGGCTTTACAGAAACCCTTAGATAAAGACAGACCAGGACCTACTTGGATAACACTAATCTGTGCACGGGCTAACTTTTTCTCTCAAGAAGCATTAGCAACACTGAGGACGTAACTTCCCAAATTAAAGTAGTTATTAATGAATCTGTCACCTTGTATTTCGTGGAGTTGTTTCCTCAACTCATTGAGATCATTCTGCAAAAGCCGGGAAATAAGATAATGCTTTGGGTGCTTAGTGCCTGCGCAGTTGGGGTCATGATTTGGTGTCTGGTGTGGCTTCAGCTGCTAAACCAGGGTCAGAAAGAGTAGCTCTGACTCCAGGTTGGTTGCAGCCGAAAGGAAAGGAGAGTCGGTGACACTGCAGTTCTGTGGCTGTTTCAGGTTGATACCTTGTGAATGGGAAAAAGGGCTCTTGCCCAGTCAGCTTCCAAATACTGCACCAATGGCTATTTCAAGTTTATAGCATAAGATGCTATTTTCCACCCATGTTAATTCCATAGGCTCATCTAAAACTTAGAAATAACTAAAGGCTGTATACGGGGAGCTGTGTAGAGCTGGTGGTCAGGGGTCTGTTTCAAATACCTTCACCTTTCTGCACTCGTTGAAGTTATGTCCACCATCTTCAGAAATATTTGGAGATTTTTATTTCATCTGTGGAATGATAAGTTGGGAAAAGCTGTCACTTACTGGGTTGAAACCGAGTCCTTAAATCCTCATAGAGTAAGCAATCTGGCTATTAACTGATCTGTGTCAACTGCCTTTATGGCTTTTATGCTGGCTTTGTAGGGATAGAATAAATAATAAAAAACCTAATTCTTCCCCTCCAAACCCATTGAAAAGGTATTTCATAGCTTGAGTAGATTACCATGTTAATAGCAGTTGCTAGCGAGGATTAGAGGTGTTTACTCGCTGATATCATTAGTTACTATCTCAGGCATTATCTCATTTTCAGAAACACATGAAATCAGCCTCGGGAGCTGTAGGGACAAGTTTTGTAGCTTGCAGCGAGTGGCACGTGCCAATTTTTGCATGTCCTCGTATTTTGGGTACCTGAGGCAACACGGATTATACGCACCTTGATGTTCCAGTAAGAAGTGCGAGGCTTCCAGTTCTGGCTCACTTCTTACTGATATTTGTGTTTGAAAGGTTTTGTGACTCTGATAAAGAGGTTGGTTTGGTTTTTTTTTCAGAAAATGAGTTTAGCACGTAAAGGAAATCTTGGAAGACAACGATTTCCTGGACTAA